AACTTTATGTATTTGCGCTATTTTTTTGACGGACTTAATGTCTGAAGACCTAAGTCAGTCTCACTTTCTGTTAGTTTTTCACCCTGCTAAAGGGGAGGAAACAATTCTCAAAGAAAGCATAGATGTGAAGCTCTAACAAAGGAACACTTGCATATATAAACTCTTTTGCTGGCATTAATTATCACACTGGGTAGATCTTGTGGTCATGTTCTGCTTTAAGATACTCTGTGTTCGTAATTTTACATACTTCCTATTGTGCCAGTGATGTCTTTCATTCTGTTACTTCATAGTCTCTATTCTTCGAATGCTATTGTGTTTGGCACAAAGAAAAGAAGGAAAAAATGCAAACACCCGCCCCCCCACCCCCAGTTCTGAAAAGTCTATACTGATAAATGTAGATTTTCTCAGTTGTACATCAAGTTGCAGTTCTTTAATAACGATACAGCATTTTCTGGCAAAATGAAGGCAGCCTTACAGGACTGCTGTTCCATTTATGGTACATGATTACATTTTTACAAATTGAATGGAATAAATATTTACTGCTGCAATGAAAGTTTTACATATGTACATTAGGCGTCGAATAAATAAAACACTTTGAGTATATAACATGTAAATACTGATGAATCTTCTCCTTTCAAAGTGCCTTTGTATATTGCACCCTGGGAGATGTGGTTCAAAAATACTCCCTTATGTGCTAAGGTGCATATGTCTTCACAAAATGTGTGCAGCTCGTTTGAATGGCTCTGTGGATTAGATGACTCGACTGTTGTCTTTACAATAGAATTTGTAAGGTCTCTAGTAAAACAAACAGAACACAAACAACTTTTATTTAAACAGTGCTCCAGATGAGTACAAGAGCAATTTATGCTTTCTCTTGTATTTGTGAATGATGATCTTTTAATACAGTGCTCTTCAACAAAGAAAGTAGTAATTCTGTTTATAATTTCTTGTTTTATTAAAGTAGCTTGAATGCTTTGCTTTTGATTACAAATTTTCAAGTCCTGGGGCTCTGGCATGGACTTACTGAGTTGCTTTTAAATGCTGTTTAACTTTCAACTTTCCTGTCTTGAATTATTGTTGTGTTGAAGATTCGCTAGGCTAAAACTTCGCTGTGCTGCGCATCAAGAAACACACAGGTTAGGTTGAGAGCTACTATTACTTGAAATAGAAGAACCAGTTTAATTCATTCTATGGAATGGTGACATTTTTCTGTGTATACTAAAACTTAACCTTTTCTTGTTTTACTGTAAGAAAGAGTAGGAATGAATTCTCCTTTAATGTACAATAACAGTGAGCAATTGGTTGTTGCCTAGTGTATTAAAGAGGAACATTGCTTGCATTTTGGGGGGATTCTGTATTTCCTTACTGATGGTTAGTTAAGAAGAATGTTCTTTCTCTCACTGGCCTTAATTGTGTTTTGCACCGATTTTGAGCAATCAACCTAGTACCTGGAAAGAATTCCAGTTGTATTTGATGGTATTTAACAACGTAGAAGATAGAAGTAATGATAAACTGTCAGAATTCTTCTAAACTTAGAGTTTCTGTTGTCTTTACTAGATTCTTAGGAAATGGACAGACCTCAGAGACACAGATTCTGCTTTTCCTTAGTATGTACCTCATCATGATCACTGTGTTTGTTTGAGCTAAGCAAGTCTTCTCCCTAGAAAACATTAAATATGTACTGGACCTTACAGTTGATCAGTGCTTTATTTCTGCAGTTGAGCACATTTTTGTTGCCAAGTCAAGGCTTAAAATACAGTTACACTAACATGCACATTTGCTACGAATCCATATCCTTTTTCTAATCTCTTTATGCTGCCTGAAAGAGTGGTGAGCACTGCTGCTACTACCTGGCTGAGGATTTCCCTATTGCAGGTGTGGTTAAATACTGCTGTAATGCTGCCTCTGGCTTTTCACATGTCCTGGCGCAGGAGGAAAGGACAGGTGTCACGATTGCAGCTTCTAGCCTGTGTCTTCTGGGATTCATATAATTCCCTGAACCCTGCAAGTGCAGCAGCACTAGTTGTGAGGGACATGCTGGTTTATTTCACCTTTTTCAATAAGGTTTACCTAAGTGTGATGAGCTATAAGTGTAGATACAAATAATAAAACAAACTGAACAGAAGAAATAATGAACTGTCCAGCTGTCTTCGGATTTACATTATATCCACATACCTTCGCTATGCCAGTCCCAGAATTCCTCCCCTTGTGCCTTTTCCCACACATGGGGATACCTCATACTGCTCTCATAATACCGTTCCCTCTCCTGCCCTCTACCAGCTTTTTGGACAAGTCAGTGTTTGCTGTGTCTGATTCTGAACTGCCTTTGTACGGACTGGCCAGCCTGGAGCACAAACAGGACAGGTGATGAGCTCAGGGTGCAGCTTTACCTGGGGCAGGAGAGGGAAGGAAAAGGGGGAGCTTCTCTATCCAGCAGTCCATTAAGAGAATGCGTAGCCTTCTCTTCCAGCTTTGGCTGAAATTTAGTAATGGGATCAAAGCTATTCATAGTACAACTGTAGAAGCCTCATTTCCTTAGAAAACAAAGCCCAAGAGTACCTAGTTTGAAAGAAGATAGAGTACCTCAGTCAATCCTTTTTTCTTGTTTTCAGTCGTTTATTAAGTGTCTCATATTACATATCACACTCCTTTAAATGCTAATATTAATAATCTTGGAGAGGATGTGGAGGTACTTTTTAAGGGAGTTTTTGTGCAGCTCGAGCAAAATTAGGCTTGGTTTTCAATTTGCTCTTCCAGAGCAGCTCTTGGTATTTTTAGTTGACACCTGTAAGGCATAAGAATAACCTTGGAATCAAGTCACTTTCAATGTTAAGAAAGAAGCTAATTTCTTTTCTTTATTTCCCTTTCTACAGACAGAAGATACAAGCTGGAAACTAATCAAGTTTTTCACCCAATAGAACAGAAAGCAGAGACAACTGAAAGTGACACCTAAGAAAATCAAGTAGAAAATAAGGCCTCTTATATTTGGCTGAAGTTGAATATTTGGCTCTGGAAAGGACCTAATGAACATCAAGTCCTATATCCTGGTGCCACTGGCAGTCACTTCATATAGTTCTTTTTATAAATTTATGTTGCCTCATCTTAGGTATTTTGCCCTAGATAGCCTTATTGGAAAGCTTTTTAGAAATTCTGGTCTGAGACTACAGAACCTTTTGATTTCTACTCTAGCTGCTTTCATACCTAGTCTTTACTCACCTTATCTTTAACCAACATAAACGGGTTCTCCATTTCCCATGGTCGCTGCAGTATTGCTTCTATGTGTCTGATCTCATTTGATTTTATTTTTCTTGAGCACAGGTGAATAGAATCGTAAGGAGTACTCTGGATGGGATCCTGTCAGGTCCTATTAATACTCACCTATGTTCAAAGGAAATGCCCTTCCTAATGCATCCAGGTGTTGCGTGTCTTTTTCATGTTTAGTGTTACTTGGCCACCTTCTTGAGAATGAATATATTATTTAATTCCATTATATTTCTGTTATTCCAGTAATATTTATTGGTTTCTTCTTCTGTGATGTAGTGTTTCTTTTATACTGAAAAGCGCTTCCAACTTCGGATGTTGACATAAGAGAAACCATGAAGGACTCTCCTTTCAGTGAGAGTTCTGACTTAGGTTGAACCTAAAATCTCACCTTAAATGTTGGACTGGTGTTCTAAGTTGCCAGCTTACGTAATCGAATCTTTTGGTTGATTTATCTTTAATATCTTAAAATATTAAATTATTTTTAAATAATTTAATATCTTTAATATGTATCCTTTTCTTACTGCTGCTTCCTTTTTTTTTTTTTTGAAAGTAGATGAATAGCCAAAAAAACCTTCTATTTTTACTTTTCAATTTCTCTTCCTTTTTACAGGTCTAAGTAGTTTTATCTTTTGATGTTATTTTAGCTTTGTTTTCTAACTTCACAGGTGTTTTTTTTCCACTGGTCTCTGTCATCCTTCTTACATACTCCATGCTTAAACATGCATCTTTTTGAGGGGGATGAGGCAGAGGTTATCAACTAATTATTACTGGGATACTTCTCTAGATATTTTCCCTCACTTCAGATAGAAATCCCAGTTTGATTTTTGTACTTTAAAACTTTAATGCGGATTTTAAGTTTGTAAGCTCTAATTCGGTTCTGTTTGCTTTCGTAACTAGTGCCTTTAATTTTTCAAATCTTTTCCATCTGTAGTTAAAGACTTTTTCTTTGGGATCCTTGTTTTCTTCTCCCCATTTCCAGTAATGGGAAGAGAGTCAGATTTAGAAAGCACTAAATGTTGTTAGGCAGGAAGAACTGGCAGATAAAAGCATGAAGAGGGCAGAGTAAGAAACCACAGCAGTGGACAAGGCATGGAAAAGAGGAGAAGGGAATAAATTGTGATGTGGCTTGGGCGACAAAGGAGGTATAGGGATGAAATGAGGAAGAGTGAATGGTTTTCTGCCTGTTTAGTGAACTAAGCCGAGTTACTAATACACATGGTAACGGCTGGGACTGCTTCAAAGAGAGGGGCTTGGGGGTGCTGGGATTCTCCCAATACTTGTAACCTTTGGTAAGTGATGGCCTAGAACTTGTAAGCTGCTGCAGGAAGAGTGAGTTTTGGAAACAGTAGTGTTTATATCAATGGAGTTAGCAATGGAGAAGGATTGGTAAGTGAACAGAGGTGGTTTCGGAGGGAGAAAAAGTAATTCTTGGGCATAACTTCATTGGTGAAGTTGTTGGGTTTTCTGATCAAGTAACAGAAGTGATATAAGCCTGGATGGAGGGGAGAGGCTTTGATAGTTATTTTTGTAAATTAATACAAGCATGGCAGTAAGGCCTTAAGAGCATTGAGGTAATAGATTAATGTTTCTAAACACAGTAAATGTTGCATGTAGAAACCATCTACTTAAATGTAACAAAAAGAAATCTAGAATTTTTAAAACAAAACATTGTTTGGCTTTGTACTGTGGTGTAATACCATCTAACTTTCTCATGCTTTTGTCTGTTTTATCTCCAGGAGATGCTCTAGTTGCTGTAAATGATGTTGATGTGAATTCTGAAAACATAGAAAGGGTTTTGTCTTGCATTCCAGGTCCTATGCAGGTACAGTAGTTGAACTTTTATTCCAAATGTCCTCTGTAAAAATTAATATTGTTTCTAGCCTTTTTTCCTTAGGAAACAGAACTTAGGCGGTCTTTTTCTTAGAACTTCCTCATCTACTTTTTGAACACATTGGTTGACTTCAGTCAAACTTAGAGTAGAAATTTCAGAGTTTAATTCTGGTAAGTTTTGTGAAAATAGATAGGTGCAAGTAAGTGACTCAAGCCAATGTCCCATTAAGGGACATTAGGCACAGTCCAGCTGTTACATATTCCGTTTGTCATCAGCTAGAGTCAGAAAGCACATGCAACATTGTGCAAGAGGTAGCAGCATACTTGTAGGTTTAGACTAACCACACCACCTGATTTTTTTTGCCCAGTGTGAGAATCAAGGTATTCTATGCTTGCAGAATTCTGAGTGTTCATGTTTCTCTATGAGAACTAGTACACACATAAGTGAAAAATCAAGTTTTATTACTTTTCCTGCTCAGAAAACAACTTCATTATTACGTTACCACTTGCATCAAAATTAATTACTTCTTGCTAAATACAGGGAAGTAACTCTTTTGAGACCTGCACAAACTTTTAACCAGTAATAGTTGTAGTTATGGGCAAAGCTGGCAAGTGTGTTTGCTTTGAGAGTTGTTATTTTGAACACAAAATGAACACATTCTCAACAAATGAAGGACAAGGATGTAATGTGGTGATGCATTGCTCCTGGTGGGTAATAGGGCTGGAGATGGCAACCTGGCAATAGCATGTATGAAGCAAGATACTGATGTCTAGCTTAAAAATAACGTCAACTGCAGAATAGTAGTGGCTTTTTGGTCAATTACTGTTCTTAAAATGGTAATAATTGCTATGGAAATACTTAAATAAAATAATTATCTCTTCATCAATATAAGAAAGACTCACAAACCACAAGAGAGTAAAAAGAAGCCTGAATTAAAAAGTAGTGCTATTAAAGATATTTAAGAGCATTCAAATGGAGAAACTGATACCGCTTTCATACTTAAATAGAAAAATAAATTCTTGAGTATTTAAGAGCTTTTAGATTACTTTTAAGATCTTTCAAAACTGAACAGTGATGAAGATTGATAGAAGTCAGTAATAAACATTGATACAAAAAAAAACCCCCAAAACTGACCTGATGAGTAATGTTTCTTCCCTCGAAACCTACTGCATATATCTTCTCTTCTAGCTGAATAATAATTTTGGAGCTATAATGAAGAATTAAATAACTAATAAAGAATTAGATAGTTATTTCAGAATTAAACCAGGAGAGTGTTAATTACTTAGGATGTTAGTAGTGTAAAATTAAGTATTTTGGGTTATTCTGCTTAAATGTATTTTCTGGTGGACAGGAAGACAAGGTAAAAGTTGCAACCTGCAGATAGGAGATGGAGCAGGTTAAAATTATAGTGTCTCTTACAGTATGTCTGTAACCTCTTGGTAGTTTTTCTTCAGGTAGAATATATGAGGTGATAGTAGAAATGTTTTACTGTCCAGAGATAAAAAGGAGTGGAAATTTTAGGTTTTATTAAACATGCTTCTGTTCGCAACTTACATAGTGTGCCTGTAGAACTACATCTGCAACTGCAGTAAGATTGAGTACTAGTATGTCAGTTTAGGAAGCTTTCCAAGATATTTGACAGTACAAAGCTTGCCTAAGCTACCAGAGTTGTGGTCAGGTATTGGCAGAGCTCCATGGTAGAAAAACCTTGTCTTGCCTGTCTTTGACCAAAAATGGAGTTGCTGTAACTGTTATTAAATACAGAATGATTTAAAAAAGCAGAGATTATATAGTTTATTTAATTGTATCCTTGCTAGATTAGAGTATACGTATTACTTGCTGCTAAAATGCAATGCAACCCTTTATATAGTAGTTACTTTTAATGCAACATTAATGTTGACATTGTCAGTAAATCTGTCAAGTAGACAGATTACTTGAAATGTGTAACTGTTTGTCATGTTGGCTTTCCCAAACCTTTTATTAAAGTGCAATTATTCCTTTTTTACTGTGCAGTTTGAGACAAGCCAGAAGAATGATTGCTGAAATAGACCAGTGGAGAATTTAAATACAGAGTTCTGGGGTTTTTTTGCAGTATAGAACACTGTGTTCATGCTGCTGAAGAAACAGAGGGTTGTTGTTTCTGAGATTTAGTAGTAAAGACAGCTGTTACACAAGCAAAATTGTTAATGTATTCTCATTCATCATATGTTGCAAAGTATCAAAACAAGATGCAGTTTAAAGCTGTTCTACCGTGGTTATAAGTTATTTACATAAGCAAAGTCACTGCTCTTCTGGGTTCAGTGTTAAAAATTACTGGAAGTAATTTCAAAAACTAATTACCTAGATTCTCTCAGTTGCAGCATGTGGCATAACATCTCTCATTGTTACTATCATTTCCAGAATTTTGTTTTCCTTACCTCAGTTTAGGCATACTAGCTTCTAGGCATGTAAGGGCTAGTTTAGTGTATTTATTGAGCAATAGAAGTCCAAATGCTACATCTGTCTTTTTTTTTTTTTTTCCTAATGTTTCTGTTCAGGTGCTTGCATGTCACCTAATAAGATAAGGTCCAATTCTGATTAAAGCATTGGATACCCCGTCTAGAAGTTCTGTAGCAGTTACTGAATGTGACAGGACAAAGCATACCCCTCAATCAATGCTTGAGATAGTATGATAAAGTTATATTCTCCAGTCTATACAATTTTACATTTCTATAACCAAAATAGCTGTTGTTTCCTATCACCACAACACAGAGAAGGCAGAATACGAAGGGGAAGATATGCTAAAAGAATATACTTTTCCTTACCCTGATACTCAGAAGTTGCAGAACCATTTTACCCAAAGATTTCTAAAAATATTCAGCCCGAGGCAGACATTCAGAATCAGAAATTTCAGCCTGAAATTTTGAGTTACAGTTGTGCAAACCATAAGCACATGGAAGACAGAGACTTACAACAGGAAATGGCAGGCAATCTTAAAAGGCAGGCAATGCCACCAACTCTGTCTATAATAAAATCCATATTCTAAGACATATAGCTTTCTTGCAGATAAACAGAAAGCATGCCTTTCTGGGTCAGACCAATGGTACAACAGCTACATTTTTCTGTTTCTTACACTGACAAATGTTTAAGTAAAGAGTGTTAAGAAACAAATGAAATACAGAGTGACCTTCCCATCATACTTCTCCAGCTGCCAGCAGTCAATAGTTAGGGACTTGTTGGATCACTTACACTGTTGTACCTTCTTTTTTAATCTAGTTCTTAAAATTCCTTTGACGGCCATAGCATCCTGTAGCAGTGATTTACATAACTGATTTGTTACGTTCTTTTTTGTTTGTTTTCAAACTTCCATCTAATTAAGTGCATTTCATACCACAGGTTCCTGTGTTATGAGGAGTAGTTAACTATCTGTGTCTTATTCTTCATATCATTCCATGACTTGAGAGCTCTGTCATGTTCCACTTTTGTCACATCTTTCCTAAGCAGAAAAATCACCATCTATGTACCTCATAGTTTGCTGTTACTATCACCTTCATCAGTGCCTTCCTACAGTTTGATTAAATTCTTTTTGAGAACTGTTCTAAGCATTGCGAATATGTGCATGCTATGTATTTGTAGAGTGGAATACTAATATTTTCTGTGCTTTTCCCATTCTTCATTTCATTTCCTTTTCTGTTTTTTTGCTGTGCGTTGAACTGATTTTCTTAAGAGAAATGGAATCGAAGTTGTGAAAGATTTCATAGTCAGTATTTACAAAAGGGTACTTCAGTAGTCACATATTTAATCAGATCCTGTGCACTGCTCAGGACAAAGATCCATTTCTCCTCCACAAAAAAAAAATAGTTTTAAGGTATGTAGAAATGTAGTCTCTTAGTCATTTTCTATTACAGCATTTTCCAGCCTAGATGGTCCTTTTCACAGTAATTCTTTTTTTAAAGGCAGGAAATAGATTAGAACTTGGACAAAAGTAGAGAGGAACAGAAAATGACATGTTTTAAGCTGTTAGATAGAATTAAGAAGATTTGGAAAGGAACTTGTAGTCAAATTGCGGAGGGACATCTTTCTCAAAATACCGTGACTTCACATCTGAGCAGTGCGGTATTGCCCACAGTGATGTGGGAGGCAGCATGGATGCCTACAGGATGAGGGAGAGTTAAAGTTCTGTTTGGCCCAATTTGTTTTGAGCTCTTGCTTGGAGGGCCATATGGTTGTGTCTCTAAGACAAGGCAGACTGAGTTTGTTTTTGGTTTTTTTTTTTTAAATTGAGAGACGAAGAGATAGACTGCAGCAAGAATTACATCTGTGCGTCATTAGTTTAGAGATTGTAGCCTAAGTATCATGAATAAGCATCCACAGACAAGATGTAGTAGAAGTTAAGAGAAATAACTATTGAGTCTTGAGGAAATCTGCAAGAAGTTAAACAGGGTATGAGGAGAATCTTCTGAAATATATGTAGATGGCGTGACAAAGAGAGAGAACCGAGTCTCAGAATGCCAGAGAAGAAAACATACATCTATAAAACTGTGAACGATCAAGTTACTGGGTCTTAAGAAGCCATTGCTGCTTAGCTGGATGTTTCTGCTCCTCGAGTCCTGTTAATATGCAGTGTAATGAATTGAAACTGAAATGATGAAGAGAGAGCGAGTGATGAGTTACTGTCAGAAAAGAAGGTGGTAGCACATGGCAAGAGAGCAGGATTGAATGCAATGCTGTTCCAGAGAATTTAAAAATAGGACCAAAATAGGAGAGGAAGAGATTAATGAGAAGTGTTGGGAGGAAGTAGAGTGGAATGGGAGGAAAGCAGCCAGTGACATAAATGTTGTAGCTGGAAGAGCTGATGATGTCATTTCTCTCTGATCTAGTTTGACAGGCAGTGGGTGTTTTAAAGCATCATTATTTCTTGCTGGCACTCCTCTCTTTAAGGATGTGTATACACATACACAATTATGAAAATATAAATTATCTATATTTAAATGTATATATTACCTCTGTTTGGGCTTTTCAAATCTATTGCAACTGGGAAAATATAAACATTTTTTTTTGCATCAATCATTAGGCTAAACTGTCACTGACTTTAAAGAGAAGCAGGATTTGGTGTGATGTATTATGTTTAGAACTTCCCAGTCAATAGGCATGTTAAGGATACTTTAAGGCAGACAAACAATTTTGAGTAAAAACGTATGAAAGAGGGAACTAAGAGTGTGCCTGCTTAGTCCAAATGGATATATTTTCAGTCACTTTGAACAATGATGAAAACTAAGGTATCATCCAAGAAAATAAATCAATTTATTCTTCTCGGAAATTACAATTTTATGCTCAGTCAAGAGCTAGGTATTTCTCACATATCCTTCTTTCATACTTAGGATGAAGTGTTCATTCACAAAAAAAATTATTACTCTTTCATTTCATGACTACTGGCACAATTAAAATAATTTTTTTAAGGCAGTGCTCATAAAAAATTCGCTCTGTAAAGCAAATTTTGAAATGTATTTCCACACCAAGTTTGGATTTTGTGTTGCTTGTAAGCCAGGAAATACGTGTTTATTCTAAAACTCCTGGTTTTATTTGGGAAATAAAGAACAGTAAACCTCATGTAACTTTTTGATGAAGTAAGCTTAATCATCTAAACTTTAAGTTATTTTTTAAGAGAGAATGTGAGAATGCTCTCTTAGTGCTTTGATTATTTTTTTTCTTCTGAAGACATAATGCAGCAAGTGATGTAAACAATTTTTATACTTCTTGTTAGTTGTGTACAGCTGTTAAATATGGCAACAAAACTCTTATTTGCTGACTTTACAGTTTTAAAAAAAAAGCTAACATAGTGAAAACATTGGCAGATTGAAAGAAGAATTGTTACTGAGTGTTACAAATTAAGACTTTTGCAGTGTAATGTAAATCGATTTTCCTGTGCAAATGTACCTGTCAGTGTGCTCAAAAAAGCAAAGAAATGCTCATGAAAAAGCCTTGGGGATATATACTTATGAAAGCGCTGACATTTTCAAAGAAGTCAAATATTGTGTGTGTTTCAAAAGGTTTTGTGTTCAAACAAACCCAGAGCAGTAAGTATATTTTTCCATTCTCAAAACCATAAGAATTAAGTATGAAAACACACCAAACCACATGCTTACTCACATGGTTCATAGAGCACGTAATAGCTGGCTTTGTCCTTAATAATAGATGGTTATGTAATGCTGAATATATAATTGGTTTTCTTGAAACAGCACGAATTTTTTGAATGCTTACATCTTTGTCAGTAAAGCTAAGAAAGGGCTTAAATCTCTTAAAGGGCTCCAACTGCATTTATTTCATCTGATATTAGAACGTATTTGTAAGTACAGCCTCATTTTCACAATAATTAATTATCTTAATAGGTTAAACTTACATTTGAAATGTCAATATTTGAGCCTGAAGGAACTTCTCAGCAAAGGTATAAACGGGCACAGTCAAGTATGAACAATCTGGTTCGGCTCTTGTGGGGAGAAGATAATATGGACCTTCAACAGGCTATACAAGATGTGCCTCATATTGTTATGTTCCTCACACTGAAACTGGACTCTGAAACATCTAAGGATGAGGTAAGTGGCTAACTAAACAAAACTGAAGATGAAGGGTAACAACTGACAACAGCAACTGCTATGCCTTTTGATGTACAACAAAAAAAAAAAATCTTGCTAATCATTTTGAGTAGTGAATAGTCTGTAAAATGTCCATTTTGACAGAAATAAGGCCTGAAATTCCAGGGAAAAAAAATCAGTATCACTGCTGACAAACTCTAATTGGACTTGAAATGACTTCAGCACTGCTGAATGTCTTTACATAAAGAGCAGGCTAGAGGTGTTAACAGACATAGCAGAGATAAATTCAGAAGTTCGTTATTGTCTCTCAGATGCTCACTGGGATGTTTTCAATATGCCTCTCAAAGTTGAACTATGAAATCTGCCTGGTCAAAAAAAATTTCCCCCGCAGGAGCTGTTGGCAGTCCACATATATAATCAGTCTAGCTCCTCCTGTTTTGAAATGCTAATGTGCCTTTTCTTAGAGGACTCTTGCATGTCTGCTGTTTGCAATCAACGGTTAATTCTTGATTGGGCAACATTTTTCAGCTACTGAAGTACTTTTCCTTTGTCCTGTAAAGCTTCCTTTGATATCTCTTTCCTTTTTGTGTTCTTCAGAAAAATTTTGCCAGTGTACGTATAACCCATTGTAAGTTTGTGTAGATGTTGTTCATGATGTAGCCATAGCTACAAATACTCCACTCAGAATGCAAGGACACAGAACAGTGTGGAGGGCTGAGTTTGGCCTCTTGCCTGATCTGAGAATGACAAATGGACAAAGTGGACTTTTTAGAAACAGACATTTGGAAAAAGACTCTTCTCCCCTTCTGTATATTCTCCTTAGATTTAGCATAGTGCCCCACTTACATTATCTGTGATGTGGAGATATCAAATGAAGCACAAGTTTTGCTAGTCCCCAGGGACTGGGATGGCGGGACAGTGATGGGAGTGGGGAGCAGAAGAAAGACATTTTGCTTTCTCTCCCCTGGATTTAATCCTTAGATCGAGTCAGGGCTCCATCCCTTCTCTGAGATGTCTTTATTTTTTTGATACTGTTTTTCAACTGATACAAGTCTGTACTGCTCTGCTGGTGATGTGTAATAGAGAAAAAGTGTTACAGCTACATATAATGGAGTTTAATTTTATTTTCTAGAGACAAGGCTGGGGAGGAGAACCCTAGAAAATTACATGATATCATAATATCATGTAAAAAACGTGAAGTTTGCAGAGTCGAGTGGTTGAAAGCTAGGAAATGACAGATTTATGGCTACTTGTGCAACTTTAATTCAGCCCTTTTGTACGTACGCAGCATGACATTGTCTCAAGTATTACATTTTTTCTGAAAGATGCCTGTCTTGTGCAGAGGACAAGATGGATAGATGAGTGTTTATAATTAAGGCTTATTAGGGAACCATAAATCCAGTACTTCATAACTCTGGAGTACTTGATTTTGCAATATAAATCATGCTCTTAACGTATTATTTTTAAGGTAATGTATGCTTTGTTGCTTATTACAGCAACATACTACCACTATAAGCTCTGGTTTGCAGCTCTTTCCAATCCTGTTTAAGAGACTAAATTTTTCATGGGAGGTACCTTCAGCAGAAATTAGTTTATACAAGTGTCTCTTATAATTATTACCTTTTTTTTTTAAATAGCGTTGCAACTAGGCAAGGTCATTCTGTGCAATTTTTCCCACCCAGAGACTGCTTCCATTAGAACATATGATACTGCGGTATTTTTCTGCTTTGTTATTTCCCTATAATAAAAATGAAAAGAGCTCATTTAACTGTGAATTAAATAAACTTAAGATGCTTTATCAAAGTTCACTTACATATTGCAAATAGTTCTTTTTTTCTTCGATTCTAAGTTTGTAGTCCAAGACTGCTATGTTATGTGGATAGAACAGCTATGGACAATTTCTTTAGACTTAAAGACCAATGTTTTCTTGGTCATACAGACTTTATGAAATATTAAAAAAAAAATTATTTCAGGGCCTCTGGCTCCTCTGTTGGTAGTTGAATAGATATGCAGATGTCTAATTGCAATTCCTGCACTTCAGAGTAAATGGAGTACTGCTTTCTTGCCCCATTATTTCTTTACACTCTCCCAAGAAACAGGATTAACCCTGAATGTTGAGCAGAGGTAAAAGAGGGATTGTAATGCACTTGTTCTCCCTTCATACTGTGGAAGAATTGTTTCCTGAGAAGTCTTGGCAGTTATGCAGCCCCAAATAGTCTCTAATGTTGAGAGATGCTTTGCTTGTGTAATCAAGCTCTTTATAACATTTCCTAACAAAAGAATGCCGCCTTCTTCAAGGCATTTGTCTTTAAATTCATTTGGTGAACAGTAAGCGACATTTGTCCTGTAGATGTACTGTTCCAGATTTGTTTTACGGTAGTACTTCAAGTTAGCGGTGAAGTTATACACCTATGCTATATTGCACAACAAAAATATAATGATCCTTTACTAAGCTTGTTTACCCATATCCAAAGGAGGCATGGTATGCAGATCACATCCATGACAACTAGACAACACTGACAACTAGAACTAGTAAATAATTCTTCCACTTGTGAGCTTTTGGCACCCAAAAATAGAATTAATGAGCTCTAAGACTTGTAAGCTCTATGTACTCAACTATAAAGGAAAGCAGTATTAGAAATCATTTAGGATGCGTGCATGCATGTGCGGAGTGTCCCATATGATAATGGTTTCAATGAGTAAGGTTGATCTTGTCTTTTCTATCTTTTATTTCAAGGTAGGTGTTACGATTATAACATATGTTATTTGTACCTGCATACAACTATAACATCTTTATGTGTTTGAACTGATTTTGGTGATACCACGTCTTAAAAGGAATAATGTTCATATTCCTCCTACATGATAGTGTTACTGGAAGCATGTGTTTAGCATACTTGCAAAGTAGATACTACTTTCGTAGATGTTAAGATAGCTTGGTTCATACAGATACTGACTTGTATTTCCTGTAGCGTTTCTCCCTGTTTTTATAATTTCTGAATTAATCTTTAAGAATTCATAGTTGTCTTTCATCTACTGTTTCTTTTTTAATTTTATGTAAGATCCAACTTAAAGCCTCTATTGTCAGTGCACTGTTTGAAGATCATAGGTTTTTAGCTGGTTGGCACCATTTTGACAGAATTTCTTTTAGCCACGTTGTCAAGACTGCACTATTGGTTTTGTTTTTTTTTTTTTTTAAACGTTATTTAGGCTCAGTTTGAGAAATTAGTAAAATAAAAATAAAAAAGGGAAGCTGTTTGATAAGGCAATAGTTTAGATAGTCTGTCCAGGTTTGGGTTTTTTGGGTTGAGGGAGAGTTTACACTTTTTAAGAAATGAGCTACTTCTCATTTATTAATTCCATTCTCAGTGGCCTATGAACTTTTGCCTTGCTTTGAAGCAGCTGATCTTGTATGGTGGTATGTGCTGAACCTTGCTAACTCATTAATATATATATGTGATACAGCTATGACCTTTTGTTACAGTTGTCTTTTCTTTCCTTGGGAAAGTGTACAGATAATTCTCAAATGAATTTTGTGTAAAGGCCCTAGTTCATAGTGAGGAGAAAAAAAGGCTCTTTCTAGCCCTTTGTAGTGCTGTAATTAGAAAATGGCAGGTTTTACTCCAGCTGAGGGATTGAGTCAGGAAAAAAAAACGCTCGTCACTAATGAGTATTTGAAAATAGAGCTAATTAAATTGGATAAGAATGAAGGGTTTGCCAGGTCCTTCTGTAATGAAACTTTACATTCTTTTAATCTTGATGAAGGAAAATTTTCTAATGGCACTGGCTGGATGTGCTTAGTGACATAAATAGGAAAATTAATCATGTCTGTGTTTCTTTTGTTTGTGTAGAAAAATAATTTACTATACTCTTTGCATTGGCTATGCTTAATATTACATGCATTATTTCTGGCCCATCGTGATTTGTCAGAAAGCAATAAATGTGGGGGAATCATATGTTTGCTTATTACTGTATTTTTATGGTTGCTGAAATAATTAATATAAAATTTTTGAAAACGCTTACATAAAAAAATATTTTTAAAAGCTGGTTAGAAAAATAAAAATAATTGTCAAATATTTAACTCTACTGATCTTCAGTTTCAAGGTTACTTCTTTAAGAGTATGCTGACACAGATGGTCAGAGGTTTGGTGATAAAATTGTTAATGGTGTATATGTTATTTGGGTATATACCTCAGTTATATTTTGTGCTACACGTGTGAAGCAATTAGATGGGGTTATATAGAGAGATTGGAGTTTTCATATTCTTATTGTTGGTTTTAAAGAGCTGTATGTTTGATGATTTAAATCACAATTTAAATATTGAAAGAACCATACAAATATTAGCTATCTCTTGGAATCAGATTTGTTAAGTGTACTTTAAGCTGTAAAATGCAGTGGCCATACCGTTTGTCATTTTATGTTTCTCCATATAATAATGATTCTAAATAAGTCCTAATTTTCTATAAAATAGAAAAGTTAAAACTGTCAGAAACATTCACGTGCATTTTGGAACTTTCCAGTATGCCTGTGCAGACCACCGCTTGTTTTGATACCATGTGAAAGTATATGATAAAAGCTTTCATGTTTAGAAAAAAATTGATGCTAGGAAAAAAAATTGTTACCTTGTTTTCTGTGGGGGTTTTTTTGTGCTTTTGTTCTTGGTTTTGCTTTGCTTAACTAACAGTTAACTTTCTTCACAGCAAGAAATTCTTTATCAGTACCCCATATCAGAAGCATCCCAAAAACTGAAAAGTGTGAGAGGAATATTTCTCACACTATCTGACATACTGGAAAGTGTTACTGGTACCCAGATTATCAGGTAAAAGTATTTGAAATGTAATGTATTACTACTTCTATTATTTTATACATATGTGTACAGAAGAACAGCCATGGGTCATGCATCAAGTTCTAGACAAAACAAGAGTGACTCTACCTGTTAGGCAGTAATGTTTTAACTAGAACAGCGTGCCTGAAATTGGACTGCTCAGCCTGGATGTACCTTGATTTGGGGGAATTTCTTTGTCATGGGTAGCAATGACTAGGATTTTTAGTTCAGTGAAATTGTTTTTAGATCCCATCTTAGATCTCTTAAAACATCCTTATCTAAACTGGGATTCCATGGCACTGTACTATGGCAGATGGGAAATTCCACGACAGCTTCAATCATATTTTAAAAAAATTAAAAAAGGATAAAATGTAATTCAGTTAAATTTATGAGTGCTTGCTACTTTTAAATTCATTTTATTTCACATTCAGCTTGCAACACCTGAAAGATTTTTGTATCCACAGTCCAGGACTCTAGTAAGAAGTGTAATAAAAATTACTCCTGAGTTTTTGGAGCAGTGTGACGGTGGTGGAGATATGTCGAGAGATTATTGAATATTTAAAGGTAGATGATTTTCTGATAGAATAATTAGAAGTGAGATAGCAGGTATCACTTTGCAGTTTCACACTTCTTCCCATTGAGAATCAGTATATGAGTTTACATCTTTTGGGGGTCTCTTCTCTTTTGCACATCAGTGCCTTGTGTGCCAGACACAAGACCTGGATGGGTATAAAAAAGCCAAATGTAAGTGGCATTTCAGGCCCAAGAATACAGAGTGCAAGCAGTAGTGCAGTAGTGAACAGCATTGGCAATAATAAGGAATTCCTCAAAAGGCAAAAAGCCTGTTTAATATATTTAACTTGGGTTTTCCACTGATAAATTTTTCCTTAAAAGGAGTTCTTGAAGTGCTTTTGAATATTTTTGCTTACCAGAAAATTAATACTGGTTAATTTACTTTTGTTTACATTTGTTTCTTTTAATTTTTTTTTTTTCTCAGATTTGTTGGTATCCTGCTGTTTTGAGTAAGAAGTTTTAACACTGAGTTTTAACCATGCTTATAACTTTCTAGTTAGTAAGTTACTAAAAGTAATGTTGCTGATTTAGCGATCAATAGGAATGTGGATTTACTCCATTAGCAGCAGGTATCAAACACAGGCTTTTGATCTTTTGCATATAACAGTATTTTAATGCAATGCCACATTAATTAGCACTGAAGTATGTTAACTCCTCTTAAATGCTTATGCATTATTAATGGAAATTCTCCTATATAGAAGCATTTTTGGACATGTCCAGATTTTCAAACACATCCAAAAGACAAATCAATCTGTTGTTTGATGATCTATACCTATGGTATCATCAGAAATACAATACAGAAATCCATGTTAACGTAGATTCACCTTTCCTGTTAAGGTTCTCAATTTCCCATTTTTGAGTTCTAAAAATATAAAAGCACTTCTGCTTGTCTCTGTGGACTGTCTCATCTCTTCAAAAAATACAATAGATAATCCCCAGCTCTCCTATGAAGCTTCTTCTGTCAGAAGAGTAAATTATGATTATTGTGTCTGCACATGTATTGTGTATCTTTTGGGATGGGGATGTTTACTTCTTTGTAGTTAATTGCATTATAAATATATAACTTGTTTTGTTTGGAAAGTACTTTTGGTTACATGAAGGATAAAAATTTTCTTGTGATCTGCGGAAATACTAAGGTATTTCGTAACTAATGAAATGACAGTATTGTTTTATTCAGTACCATCAATTTTACAGTATGAGTTGGTGAAGCAGGTTAATCATGGAGCCATATCCTAAAAATTAAATTCTTGAATCTTTCAAGCTTAAACTAAAGTTACCCTTTTTTCACTTTGCAGCAGTGTTATCTTGTTATTTAAAATTTCTAACATGATAGTAAGAAAGGTGGGGTTTGCTCTAAATTTAGAGTTCGAGATATTTACAGGCCTTGGTTTTAGCAGCAACCAGTACATTTAATCTGATAATGCATGGTTTACTGCTTATTAGAACATTGGGTCTAATTCTGTTTCATGTTCTAATCCACTCTATGGTTCAAATGAAAGTTCTCTGTGTCTTTCTGGGATTGCTGAGCTTCGTAGAGCAATTTTCTATACAAGGAGATAGCATGAGAATTCAAGCTTATGTTTATCACTCAGGTAATATGTTCAAATACCTCTTAGCCTTGTTTTTAAAACGTGTGGAGTCTTTTTAAATGGTTTTGTGAGTGACTACTATGTTCAGAACCTTCATTAGTACCTCTGGTTGCCTCACTGTGATCTGAAATGGCATTTATTTTCTAAGTTGATTGTGTTAAAAGCTAGGCAGGAAGACTTTAAAGAGCATCAGAATCATTCAGAAGACGACTGTGGCGCTTCAGTAGTGGTTGTTCATCCTTTACGTTTATATACTTGAAAATGTTGTTACTACTGGTGTGATCTGTTTGGAATAGAAATCAGAGAGTCTTTGAGTTCTGTAATAATTAATATAATTACCTAGCCCAGTTGCATGCATGTGATTATAGATGAGCATAAGACTTTGCATATAAAATACATATAAATTATTCTGGCTTATAATGGTGGTCTTTTATAACTTCATAGTGTTAACAGAAGTACTTCTGGTTTAATTTTTCTAGTTCCTCCCTTTTCTTATGCGGAAAACTGGTTCAAGTTGTTTACTGGAAAGAATCTGACAAGTTGCTTGTAATTGGCCTTCCTGAAGAAAAGTGAGTTTCAAAGATAATGCCTTGTTTTCCTTTTAATTTTATTTTGTTTCGTATTATGCGTCCTCAAATTGTATTCTTCCACCAAAAAAGCAAGAAAAGGAGGGCTTACAATGTACTCTTTTTAGTATAACTAGTTTCTATACCTGTGATTTTTGATTGATTTTGTTCGCATCTTTTATATATCCATTGTTACAGTTTCTTTTTCATTCCCTCTAAAGGGAATAAGGTCTCGTTAGATTTCAGAAATGCGTGTAGACTAGGAAACAGTCATTTTCAGTGTTTGGTAAAGTCGAGTCCTGATTAGAGGCTACTGAATAACAGCAGTAATATTACGTATTTATGTGTTCTAGGAGGACTTTTGGGGTTGTTTTCCCCAGCTTCGCTACTGTCTGTCATCATGGGCAAGTCACTCAAAGGAAGTCTCTCATACGGTCCAATGAAGAATTTTTTGTTTGCCTATGCTTATTCACAGTAAAGATGTTATAAACATGCTGTACATTTGAATTTTTGTTTTTTAGTGTGCCACTTCCTCAGCTGAGGAACATGATTGAAGATGTTGTCAGGACCTTGAAATTTATGTACAGTTCTTTAGACAGGTGAGTTCTTTCAAAAGTATTTTCTTTTCAGTCACTCATTTTTCATTGATGCTCACTGAAAAAGACAGCTAGTAGCATTAATTTTAATGTTTACATGGAATTTCTTTGCATGTTCCTTTACACTTGCACAAAAACCAGAATTCTGTTCTTGCCTTTTTGTTTCAGTCTTAACACTAGTAAGACTCTTGAAATAGTCTTCATTACTTCAGAACATTTTGTCCTTGATTAGGTTAAATCATTCACATAATCTAAGTCACTGTCAATGTCAACAACACTCTGCAAATGTTATCCTTTGGGTTAAAGCACTGTCTGTAAAACATACGTATGAATCAGTGTTATATTTTTAACAAAGTAAACACTCCAGACTTCTCAACTTTATTTGGCAGAGTGACTGTCTTTCTCTGCATTTGGAAATCACCCAGAAAATTTTCAGTCTGACTGTAACCTAAATAAAATTGCCAAGGTAGGCTATTCATATGCTTGCATTCAATTCAGGGTTAAAGTGTGTATGCCATAGAGAAAGAAGAAGAATAATCTTAATTTCCAAAAGGATGAAGCTGATCATTGTCTCATCTTAAGTTGCTCTAAGATATCTACTGTAATGCTGTACAGCTTTAGTTTTTTCTTTGTAGGTACTGCCTAGATATTAGCCTAGTGGGTTTTTCATGTTTAAAATCAATGGTAAAAAAAAAAAAATCCAAATGTAGTATCATGCTCTAAAGAGACTTCTATAGCACAGAGGGTTATATAAACAAGCTACAAGCTTCTCAATGTTATTCTAACTCGGAGTTCATGTTTGTTCAGTGCTTTTTGCCAGGTGGAAAATGTTTCTCGCCTGGACCATTTTTTCAACCTGTTCTTCCAGCGTGCGCTTCAGCCTGCAAGACTCAAGTCAAATGCCAGCCCCAGTGCTCAGCACTATGATACCTGCAGTGCGTTATTCTTAGACAGTCTCCCAGGCTTGCGCTGGCTGACGTTGCCTCAGGAAATCAAGGTAATGTCATTTTCAGATCTCTCTAGAAAAAATTGTATATGAGAGGCCAGAAAATTGATGCAGGTATCTTCTGCTGTTATTGTGTAACTTACATAAGTGCTTTGCCCATCCCAAACCACCCATTTTCCTACAGGATCCTTTATTTAAGTTCAGAACCACACAGTCATTCCCACAGGAAACAGATTGCTATTAGGAGTGTAGTTTGATGACTTTGGTGTTATCTAGGAAGAGAATATGATGACAAAGGAATTAAACTTTATTTAAAATATATATATATATGCGCGCGCACACACACACACACATCTTTAACAGCAAGCA